TGCTATTGCTATTGCTATTGCTATTCTGTTTTGCTCTAGTGCAGTGTTTCTCAACCTTGTCAACTTGAAGATGTCCGGACTTCAACTCCCAGATTTCCCCAGCCAGCGAATGCTGGCTGGGGAATTCTGGGAGTTGAAGTCCGGACATCTTCAAGTTGACAAGGTTGAGAAACACTGCTCTAGAAAAATACAGGATTTGAGTAGAATTAGAAAAAATAATATATTCAATCTGATGCTAGATGATTAATCTATGCTGCACTAATAGGAGTAAATCTGAACCTTGGCAGATACTTTCAGGCATTAATAATCCATAACAAATGTTCAGAAAGTTTTAGGCAAGGCCAATCTCCATTTTCAAGCTCCTTTGCATGCTAAATTATTGGGAAAAGGTATTGTTTTGAATGTGGATTTCTCTGTGTGGGAAATGAAACTATTTAATGTTTGTGGGCTGGAAGAAACAGTCATGTTCTTAGGTACTATTTGCTATTGGATCTCGGAGCTGTCTCTTGATTCTGCTCTATGTGTGTTCCTTTTATAGGTAATCCTCAACTTAACTTAACCATTGCATCACCGCTCCAGTCATATGATCACAATTTGGGTGCTTGGTAACTGGCTCACATTTATGATTGGATGGAGTATCATACAGTCACGTGATTGTGATTTACTATGTTTTTTTTGCCAGTTTCTGGTAAAAACTGTCCCTCGACGTGGATTTACATAACAACCATGTGCTTGTTTAATGAACATGATTTGTCTAACAACCGCAGTGATTTGTGACAATCATAAAAACTGGCTCTGGTCACATGGTGACTCAACTTATCACCACCTCAACTTATGTTCAGTGTTCCAGTCCTTATTGGGGGTCATAAATCAAGGGTTACCTGTACTGTATAGCATCTTTGACTTAGTTGTAACTTTATGAACCTGACTTGGTTAATAGATTATGATCTGTTGCCTGCATTCACCTTGGAGAGGAAACAGAAAGCTCCTGAGAGTACCATTGATAGCCACAAAAAAAAAGATCATAGTATAAATCAATCCAGAGTTTGCACTCGGGGTGCAAATGATCAGGCTCAAATTATTATATCTGGATACATTATATGAAGATTTGGGTTTCTTAAGAAATCTATAAGGAAGGTAGAAGGAAGGAGAATAAGAGTTTTAACTCAGTTAAAACAGGTGATAGTGCAGTGTTTCTCAACCTTGGCAACTTGAAGATGTCCGGACTTCAACTCCCAGAATTCCCCAGCCAGCATTCGCTGGCTGGGGAATTCTGGGAGGTGAAGTCCGGACATCTTCAAGTTGACAAGGTTGAGAAACACTGTGATAGTGTATCTGTCAGGCCCGCAAGCCATCTTGTGGTTTGCTTCTCAGGCCTGCTCTCTACTGTCTATTTTCTATTGTGGGAAAATCGGAGGGGGGATTGTATGGAGTTGGGTAGTATGTAGCCATAACAACATTCTTTATGGAAAGCCAAGGTCATCCTTTGTCCCTGAATTCCCTGGCATTCGCTGGCTGGGGAATTCTGGGAGTTGAAGTCCAGACATCTTCAAGTTGACAAGGTTGAGAAACACTGCATTAAAGGTAGACTGCCCTGACCAATGGAGGCTCCATTGACATTCGTCAGGCCTAATTAACAACGTAGCTTGTTTCTTTTTCTTTCTCCACTTCAAACCACTGGCATTTTATCTTTTTAACCTTCTGACTGGGAAGTTGGCTCTCTTACGGTTGTTTACCCTGCCTTGATTGACGCCGTTAGCCGGCATTTCACTTGGGGTGATTGTGTTGCTTGTTCCACTCCGGTGAACACAATCCTACAAGTTGGGACTGGGTAAGGACTTTCTTC